GAAATGTCTGAAACAGTTGTATTTATAATTTTAGCTAAAAAAAATTGCATACCTTTAAAATTAAGTTTTAAATGTCATATTATTTGGTAGTGCGTGGCTTTGTTTGACACTTTTAAAAATATTAAAACCAGAGTTGTGATTAAAATATTTGCGTATGAAAATGTAAGGTCGTGCGCTTTTAGTCCGAGTGCAAAGCGTTTGTTTGTTTTATCAGTGAGGCGCATCCCAGATTCTTGTCTGTTTTGGCTTGAATAACTTTCCAGTCGTAAAGTTAAAATTCATATAAACAATTTATTCACATTGACCGTAACTAAGGCATTCTCAACTTCATAACTGCACATTTAATAATAGGCTTATCCAACCTCCTTGGTAGTATAAAGGAGGTTATACGTTGCCAAGGAGATCGAGCTGGCCACATATAAATGAATAAAGAAGAATTGAATAAACAATATGAAAAAAATGTGACAATCGGGCAATGCATAATTATTTTACACGTCAGTTAAACACTTTCGCGTCAAGTGTACAAAACACTATCCAAAGAAACATTACAAATATTCTTTTAAAGTTGCTGAGTGAAATCAAAGCTCAAGTTAATGGTGCACCTAAATGACTCAATCTAAAGTCATTTGTATGCATTTGAATGTAAAACGAAGCAATTTAACTGTGCTGTTAGATGTTATTTATGACTCGGTGTTATTGCTTTGATTCGAGTGGATACGGACTGAAAACGAGTTCTTTCTAAATGATCTGTGATTTTAATCCATCATTTAGTATGAATCATTTTAGTTGGAAGGGATTGAAATATACCGAGATTTTTACACCTGCTTCGTCATATGCCTAGGCAATGAAAGCCTTTGTTAATTGAATAAATCAGCTTAGCACAAGCTTACACTTATTTTATTAAAGCTACTACCTAGTCTAGTGTGTAAAAGAATATGGGAAAGAATGGATTATATACAGGCCGTTAAACAAGCGATGAAGAGTACTGCATACCGTTCCGACCGTCCGTAGGAAAAAGGGCGGGATGACAATGATTTTAAACTTAGTCTAAGCATTAGGTATTTTATTAGCTGGACTTTCTTCGTCTAATCGTTGGTTTCTAAGATCAATGTTCCTGTACAAAATATATTTTCATCTTTCTTTACAGGGATTTTGGTCTTAGAAATCATCGATTAGTTATACGAAAAGGTCAACTAAGGTTACATAAGTAATTGTTACAATAACGAACCTTTGAATGAAGTAATTTTTGAAGCAAGATCATATGATACTATTGAATACAACGCTCCGGCCGGTAGTCGTTTTCGCTTACAATAGATCGTTTAAGCTTCGAGAAAGTAAGCCGTTGATTAGAGTCTGGTAGTCATATAATAAAAACTAAAATGTTACTATAACAGAAATTTTATTTATGATTTTCGTCTTATAATTTACGTTCTATTCTTTTTAACATAAACACTAGCTGTAGCTGACGAATCTGTCAGCGCGGAATTTAAAAAAAACTTAATTAGCAGCCTATGTGATCTTTCAAACTTTGCCAAACATTTATGCCAAATTTCAGCGAGATCCATGCAGCCGTTTTGGATATACCTTCAAACATCCATCTAAACATTCGCATTTATAATATTAGGAAGAAGAATTGGGATGTCTGTCAAGGGCTGGCATACATGAACTGCTTGTTGTCGCCAAGCTGTCGGTGCTTTTCAGCTGCGATTGCAAACTGCGGACCGTGTATGGCGATTGTTAAACTGCTGATAGGCCAACGCTGACTTAGAATCAGTTCGTGTATGTAAGCTAAGTCTGGTGAATTTAAGGATAGTAGTATAAATCACGTCGCAGTAAATTGTAAGAAAATTGGCATCCTTGTTGTGTAACTACGGCACATTCCTTGCGCTAATGTCTGTTTCACGTTGTTCTGTGCTAAATCAAACTAAATTGCACATAATTTATGTTTTACTGGTAATTTCTGTACAGATCTGTATTCGCGAGGGTTAAGTAAAATATTCTGCGGATACCGAAACTGCTACCTAATATTTTGGCGTGATATTTATCTACGATCGATACGATTTTTTATCCGCCATTTTTGAAACTTCATTTGTCGGGATCGCGAATAAGTAGATTTGACTTGTATTCTACAATTTAAGTTAAAAATGTTTCCTTTATTCGTCTAAGTAGCGTCACTTAGTATGAGAAATCTGCACTAAGTGATTGTTTAAATAAAACTACACTCAGGTCGGCAGTAATAAGGTTACTAAATAGGATTACGACAACACAATAACTCTACTATAGACGATAAACAAAAAATCAAACTGTGGATGGATAAAGTAGTTAATATCCGTAGAAAGTAATAACGCTGCAGGCGAATGATTTTATCATAAATATTGTTATAGGCCGTTTTACGATGACATTAATAATAATTAAAAGCAAACGTTTATCCGACTGCGTGTGGCCAAAATAATTATTATGCAAGATAATAAAACTTACATTATTAGAAATGGATTTACGGTGTGTTATTTATTGTGTTTTTAAAATTAGTTTGTGACAGTAAAAGTCGATCATAAACTTTTCAAGGGAAAACTAACGAAAAAACTTATTCTACTACGGATTAAAATACTTTTTAAATTATTGATTTTAAGGGTTCCTTACCTCGATAGGAAAAAACGGAACCCTTAAAGAATCACTGTGTTGTCTGTCTGTCAAGACTCTTTTGTTATCATATATCAAAAATATTTGTTTCAAGCTCTATCTTAAGTTAGGAGTTAGTCTTAAAACGCTAGCTCATAGGATTGGTAGATTAGATCTTTTTTTTTACAAATCCAAATGTGTCGGTCGTATTTTGATGTATTTTCATCGTAAGAACATCGGATAGAGACATAAGTAACTTCGTTTAGTTCAAATTGAAATACGACTACATCAAAGAACTTTGTAAATAGTAAAGTCTGAGTAAATCAGGTCAACAGAACTTACTGTGTTCAATATACGTGTAACTCATTCGTTTGTCTTTTAAAGTTTTAACGTAGACATAAGTCGTGACTTCTAAGAGCACAAAGCTACTAAACCAAAATAAACAAACACATTCCGAGAAACTACTTAAAGAAGGTAAAGAGTTTCCAAGTTATGTGTGTACTTGAAAGAATAAAACGAGTGTAAGAATAACTTAAGAATGCATGCATAACAAAAATTTCTTAATTATTTTCCAATCCGGTAATAATAACGAAGTAACAGCCCGAGCCGAGGTTCCTGAGGGAGCCCTCGAGCTTAGTTACTCTTAAACGAGGTTTAGGCTAAGTGCCGTCTGCGCTCGGCCACCTCAAGCCCGGTGAAGCTGTAAATGCCTCCTCAAAGCAAACAGTGGCAATTCAGTCACAAAAAAAATGCAAAACAAATTATGCTTTATTATATGTCTATACTAGGCTAATTTACACGACTAACTAGCTAACTACCCAGTGGTATTTACAACTGGATATGAATCCTTCAAGTAATTTTTTCTTAAAGAGCTTTTTGGTTTAGCACATTGTGGTCGTCTGGGACAAACAATAAAATCATTTCTCTTTACTTATATTTGTGTAATAAAATTTCTAGTAGTTTCATACTTTCCGTAAATTTTGTTGTGAAATTTATGATTAATATTTCGTAAATGGTTCGCAAACATGTGTGGAAAATGCGTATAATATCACTCAGACATTCTTATACCTACTTCTAGCTCATACATTATTGATTCTAGCTAAACACCGTTGCTAAGACATTGAATCGGCTTTCAATCGGTTGCGAGATCAAATTGAAATATTTGAAAAAAAAAAGCCTTTTAACATTTATTCTGAAGTCTAAGGTATCCCGTTTATAATTATGAAAATAAAATATACGCTAAAGGGTTTTTTGTAAATTAAAAATTACAATATAATATGTTTTGTTAAACTTACAAGTCATTAATACCAACATTGAGACAACAGGTAGTGGATTTGACGGAGGAGGGGACGCATAGGAATCGGAAATAATCTCGTTCCGTGCGTCCCCTTTTCCGTTGACTAAAGGTTGGCAACGCATTTGCGATTCGGATGCTTCTTGGCACCGATCCCGTCGCTATTTCGGTAAATTAAAATGGCCACTTGTCCTTAAGCCACCTTATAACATAAAAAATGAAGAAATTCAAAAACATCTTGTCAGGCCAAATTCTTGATTCCACATTTAAAATCCTTCTTGGCCAAATTATGCGAATCGTTGACCTTAAAAATAATAATAGTAGGTACCAGTTATGTAGATTTTTTAATTTAATACGTGTTTTATGGGATATTTATCGTCCCCTATTTGTATATTAACGTCAACCTACCTTTGCTAATTTTCGAATATTTATCACTACAGGATGTTCAAAATAAAACAACTACAATATAAATATTACATTTATTGTATTCGAAAATTATACATAACTTATATTTGAACAGATTTAATTTTATAAATGCTTTTATTTTTAAGTCCTCATTTATTACATTTAACTATAATACTGAATAATATAAATGAGTATTTACGTACATATGTGAATATTTAATTACTTAATTTATATATAACGTATCATCCTGTATCAGACAAATTCAAATAACAGTGATTATATTGTTACTAGTGTTTATAAGGCATTTTTATTGGTGGGATTTATGCAAAAATAAAGTTAGAAAGGATAACTTTAGACCAAAGATGTCATTAATCAAGACAGGCAGACCTTAAAAGTGATTTAAGAGTAAAAGTTTATCGGTAGTTTATCGAAAACAAATTGGCATCAATAAAATTTATGATAATTTATAAAAAATACAATAACTGAGGTTATAGTACAATTCGAATTTTAAATAAGCTTTCTTTTGCCAAAAATATAAGTTGAATTTTCACTGGCTTACCTACCTTAAAGTATCCACAAACAACGGTTTATCTTAAGGACAATAAACGTACATATTACTTGTGTATAATAAATTAAAATCTTATTATAATAATAATTTTATTTATCACTTGATGAATATACATTATTGGAAAACATTTCATCATCCTGGCACCATTATAATATTATTATAAGCTCACAATTACCGTTGGATTTCAGTACACGCTGTATATCAATATAATGCCATCCTTATCATTACAATTGAAAAAATAGAGACAAGTGTCACTGTGTAATTTCATGGTCGATTAAAATCAAAGTTCTACACAGCACTTTCTCTTTGCAAAGTTAATGTGACGTCAGGCGGAGGTATCCAATCTTGCTGTATGCGGGGACAATGACAATCCGCGAAGGACGGACTGTCACCATCATCAGAATAATCACTGCTATTCGATCGTAGGCTGCACGACGGAATCCCATGGATATCTATAGACATAGATTATTTTTTTAACATCCTATAAACACCAGTTGGTAGGTAAATATACTATGAAAACAATTCAAAGTAGCATTGCGTTACGTTCAAGATAATTTTGTTACATGTAGAAAGAGAAAGATCTACTGTGACATCACTTACCGCTCGTCCGACTAAGATAATCTCGAGTGACGTCATCAAGTTGCAGCACTTGTATGACAGGCACCGGCTTCGTCCGGGATCTCCTGGCCAATCGCACGGCCAACATCGTCGAACATACAAACATCACCACCAACAACAAAACGCCAATTGATATTCCTATGTCTTTCACCATAAAAACTGAAATAGTACGACAAATAGATTCTTAAAACTATTTCTTATTAGTCTACTTCTAGTTTTGTTATTTTTTACATTTATATATTATATTATATAATATTATTAAAATTAGAATCTTCTGAAGGCTACCTATAAAGCACTTAAGATTGCAAATGTAAATTTATTTTAATTTAATGCTATAAAAACGTAAAACTAGCTTAATTATACATTATGAATGAATATGTTAATAGTATGTATATCTACTTAGAAATACTATATGGGCTTCGAGCTGTGAAGAAACATATATTACAATAAGACAAAGTTATAATTTTGAATCTAATTTTCCATTTATAGCTAACATTTAAGATAATTAAGTAATCAGGAAGTGTAGAACTTAATACGTTTATTATTAAAAGAAATAAACTTCATTTAAGTACATTTCTCTTATCTTAAAACGTGTTTAAATGAGAGGTAACTAATCATAAGTGTTCCCTAAAATGAGACTCGCTAATGCTCAGAAATTTTTACAAGTTTAAAAAAAAATCATGGATATTTTTAATCATATGAATAAGATTCAACTCAAAGTCGCTAAATTATCTTTTATATTATTCTTCTACAAACATTTTAGTTTTTAGTATAGATTATGTATACATACACTTCCACCAAGGCGGCATAGCAGCACTCAGTAGACCATCAGTAGGCCTCAATAGTAGCGCTGCTGAGCATCCATATCTATTACAAGCCGCTGCACCAGCCTCGTCTCCAGCCTTCAGTAGACCCAGCTCACCTCTAACTAACCATGGTTCTTCGTTTTGCATAAGAGCTAAACTGTTGCCAACTTCCAGAGATCGCTTTTGTTCTAACACCAAAGAAGTATTCGTCGTTGACAACCTCCATAACGATAATTCATAATACGAAGCGTTTTCAACTACAAAGAGATATAAAAATAAGAATCACAATACATTACAATAGTATGATCCTTCTTGGTGTCTAATTGCAAGTTTTTTCATCTAAACAGTGTAGTTATTTATGTTTAGAAATAGTGTCCCACGCGAGTCCATCAGTGGAATTAAAAAAAGAAACTTAACTGATATATAAACACGGCTAAACACTCACGTATATTCGTCCGGTGGCGGCACCGACATAATGTCTCACGAAAGTTTGAATAATTTAAAAGAAACTTAATAAATAGCCTTTGTATCTTCCAGTCTAAGTTCTACATTTGTGCCAAATTTCATCAAGATCCCTAAAGCCGTTCAGGAGATACCTTCTAACAAACATCCATCCATCAATCGATCTAAGCTTTCGCAATTATAATATTAGTAAGATTTCTTTACCTGGTAGACATCTTATTTGAAACTCCTTGTATTCAAACGCAAGATCACATTGTTGTGGTTGTTTAGGTTTCAAGTGACCTATACTTATGATTCTATTACACGATTTGTCCTGAGAAGCTATACCATTATCAGCTTCACAGCTAACGTTTAGACTGTCCGAAAAAGGCCCAGCAACTTGTTCAAGGGATAATATATTTGATCCTGTAGTTAAATGTTGAGCATCGTAATCCGCTTGGTTGATGTGCCAGAAATAAGTATCAGGAGAGGGCAGGCTTTTTACGTTGCATATTAAAATTTCTTTCTTAAGAATAACACTCGATTTTGTGCAAGCAGGTGGATCTACAAAAATATGCTTTGGGTAAACATAGAATATTTTAAAATTAAGGATATCTTGTTGCTTTGAATTAGCGGGATATTCAAGAAGATAAAAAACTTACAAAAAACATTTATATTTATGGGACCTGATTTTGTTTCACCGACGTTATTTCTTGCTGCACAAGAGTACTGACCGGAATCACTTCGGCGTACTTCGTCTATTATTAAATCATTTGATGAGACCCGAATCCCTCGAATGCCATCTTCTTTTATTTCTTTATCCTGATAAATATATTTTGAATTACACATAAAAAATTATGAAATCAATTTAAATGTTCTTAGTTACTTACGTTGTAATACCAAAATATTTTACTCGCTGGAGGATTTGCTTCAACATTACATTTCAATATTAATATGTCAAGTTCAATAACATCAGTTTTTTCATCTTCAAATCTAGTTACATGCACTGCGGGTCCAACTGTAAATAATGATTCAGTTATTAAAAAATCAATCATTTTTAACACATTCAGTGTCACCAATTCACTTTGTCACTTCAAATTCGTGTATAAAAATATAAGTGGCATTGAACGTGTTAAAGTGTCAACGTAGAATTCTACTGCTTTTACACTTGTGTTGATACATATTGACATCTCTTTCATTCTTTTTGACAAAACAGAGATATATGTAGTAACAAAAGCGTCACTGCAGCAGTATTAGTCTTAGCTCTAATATTACCATGGGTGAAATTTGCAGATCTGTGGCATCCTTTTCTGTCCAGCGCGGTCACCCAACCCTTAACCCTGGCCCCGCACTGCAGTGTAATTTTACGGTAAGAAAAGCAATACTCACATGTTACATTTAAACTAACGGCGGCAGATTTTGAATTTCTTCCAGTTGGCATTACTGGGTTTTTCGCTACACATTTTAAAGTAGCATTGTTGTCTGCTCTAGTTGGTGTTATTATAATACGAGATGTTACAGCTTGGAGATTTTCATTCCATGTCTAAAAGTTGAGTTATTTACAATTTACAATAAAATACTAGCTGTCGCCCGCGACTCCGTCCGCGCGGGATTAAAAATAGATGTTAGCCGATTCTCAGACCTACTCAATATGCTCACAAAATTTCATGAGAATCAGTCAAGTCGTTTCAGAGGAGTATGGGAACGAAAATTGTGAGGCAAGAATTTTACATATAAGATAATCAACATTACAAACATCGTTAATTTCGAGGAAGAAAAATAATTTGTTCTTACATGATTGGAACAATTCAAATTAAAATTTAAAAAAAAAACTTGTAGGTTAGAACTAACCAGTAACTACCTGATTATGATGCGATAGACTTTTATTGTTTAGAAACCATGTTATGTCAGGAATTGGGTGTGAACCATTTGCAATGCACTGTACTATGACTGTATCCCCTGATCGAATGTTACCGTTGGCGTTTCCTTGAATCCATTCAATACTTACATTGTTGGCAGGTACTAAAAACATAATCAAGTTTACATTAGTGTCAATTTCCACTGGCGTCACACTTATAATATTGTCATCCTTCACATGCACTTTGAAAAGATAGAGACCACTATGTTTTATTACAAAGGCAATAAATAAAATAAAGTAAGAACAGCAGGCGAAACGATTATGACTTAATTATAATTACTGGTAAATATCAAAATTAAAGAATATTTCATAAACACTGCCGCTGCAGGCTTTATAATTGAATATACAGACGCCTGAGTCGCCCCGTTACTATCTTTGGCATCAATCATCGCAAAAATCTCTCCCAGAAATGCTAAAACCATGTATCAAACATTTATTATATGTACTTACAGTATAATTCTATCTGTAGATTAGCTTTTAAAGGCTTCACTAAATGTGTATTTGAAGCTCTACATGACAGTGTATCAGCATTATCACGGGTAAGTGGCAGATAGAGTTCGTTTTGTCTTACATTCGGTATATCACTTACACTGTATGTTGCATCTACTAAAGTATCACCAGAGTACCAAGTTATTTTTGGTGGTGGTCGTCCTGGAAAACAATTCGTAATAAATCGACCCATTCGATGTCGTTTTAGACATTATAAATTAGAATCTTTTGGCGCGAATGACGCGCTTTTATTACCAAGTCAAGTGTCAGAATTAGTGAGGGGACATAAACGTCGACATTTTAGTAATTCTAGTGTTGCGCCAGCACACCGGCACAGTGTCGGATTTTCTTCCTATTCGAGTGAGATACATTACTTAAGAGATCTCAAAAAAGATTTTATAAAATCTCAAACGAAGAAGCAGCCACACGAATACGACGAAATAGCGAAGCGACCGCTGCAGATAGACATCGGCAATTGTAGATGTATAGCCAACCTTTAATCAACGGAGGAGGGGGCGCACAGAAAAATGATATATTCCCTTCTCAGAGAAAATGTCTTACCCTTCCTATATTTACCGTATAATGAAGGTTTGGGTAAGGAAAGAGTACATAAAGTATTTTCGTCGAATGGGTTGATATTTTATATAGAGTTAATATCAAAGTTACCTCCAATAACAAGGCAAGTTAAAACAAGCGTATCTCCTTCGTAATAAGGTCTAGTTTTATTGGTAACAGTGTTTCCTAATTCGTCCAGAAAGAAAGGCTCACTTGGTAGAACTGAAAGAAAACACAAGTTTTTTATTTAATTAAATCTCATCTTACTAAAATTATGATTGCGTATGTTTGGATGGATGGATGTTAGAAGGTATCTTCAAAACTGCTTAAAAATGAAAAAAAAGTCGGTGAAATTAGGCTTAGCTGTAGAGCATATTATAGAAGAACCATGGGCAACTAATTAAGTTTTTTTTTTAATTCCGGGCGAACGAAGTCGCAGGCGACAGCGAGTTACATTATAAGGTCAAAAGAGTCTTTTTAAATATTATCAGGAACTTGAACATTTTACTTTATTTTAATAGTAAGTAAGCTGTTAGCATCAGAACCTATAGCACTTAATAACAAACAATTTTACTTTCTTATTAGCAGTAAGGAGTCGGTGGCTCAGGGGTCAAGCACTTGACTTGCAATCTGCAGGTCCAGGGTTCGAATCCCGCCATGTACCAATGTGTTTTTCGATTACTGATTTACATATGTACATTTATCCGACATTCTTACGGTGAAGGAAAACATCGTGATGCAACCTGCTCATATCTGAGAAGAAATTCAAAGATATGTGTGAAGTCTACCAACCCGCACTTGGCTAGCGTGGTTGACTATGGCCTAGTCACCCTTAACTTAGGGTAGGCTCCGAGCCCCTCGGTGGGGACGTGTAGTGAGCTGATGATGATGATTAGCAAAAAAAATTACCAATAACAGTCAAATTGACGCCAATATTTCTTGTTGGTGACAATAGAAATTCCACTCTACAATGATATAAGGCTTGATCATCATCTCTCAGAGCTGAAATTGTCAACGTCGTAGGATTTGAAGACATATTTGCGATTACACGACCGCTGGCATTGAAACCAATGTTACACCATTCAGTTCCCACGCGAGCGTCGTAACTACAACAAAAAAATTACTAATTTAGTTTTAACTGTGTAGAAAATAAAAACTATTTTGCTTTATCTAATAGATAAAAATTAATAATTTTTGACTATGTCATCAACAATATTATCTCTATCAAAGATTATTTTTAAGATAACTATTAGTTTGTTTACATGTGTTTACAATTCATTTTATTTATCAATCGATTCTATCTGATATATCAAGTTTTCTATCACATGACGCAAAACATACATACATACAAATTGAATTCAATAAACATAGAGTATATTACCTTAAACACATAGAGTATATACCTTATAACCTTTAAGTTTAATTGGCTAACATTATAATTCCAAAAATTAATAAAAATATGGGATCCCACATGCTAACCCTACCTTTCGATTTTAAAAAATATTAAAATCGGAGTTGCATAAGACACATAAAGAAGATAGAAACTAATTAAAAACATCCTTCTTTTTGAAGTCCGCTAAAAAGCAAAAGTCCTTGCTATACTTTTAAAGGACAAAACATTAAAAATGTTTAAGTACGCTTAAAATCTGACATACGAAAACATTGATAACATCTTCAAAGTGACCTTTGAATCTTCTCATTTATTTTATTATATACTTTAATACTCCTAATACGACGTTTTTTTTACCTGTAAATTGACTCATTATCTTTGTACCATACAAGAAGCATGATTTCATCTTCCGCCGTGTCCGGGCTCGTGTCACAATTAAGCGTTGACTTTCCATTCTCCAAAGCCTCTTGAAACAATACTGGACCTTTTATAATAGAGACATGTTCATTGAATTATTTCAAAGTTTTTAAATCACTAAAACCTTCAAAAGACAAAGGAAGAAAACATGGATTTTGTTGAAGACTGAAAAATAGAACCTTTATTTGAGAATTTAAATATTTTTGTTTTATTAGAAAGTATAACAAAGAGTCGGTGGCTCTGGGATTAAAGCACATGTAAGCAGGCAGGCACTAGGTTCGAATTTCGCCATGTAACAATGTATTTTTAGATTTACATATGTAAATTTATCCGATGAAGATTATTCTTACGGTAAAGGAAAACAACGTGATGCAAATTGCACATATCCGCGAAGAAATGTCTAAGATATGTGTTGGTCACAACAGTGATTATGGCTTAATCACCCCTAAGTTTAGAGTAGGCTCCGAGTCTCTCAGTGGGGATGTATAGTGACCTGATGATGATATGAAAGTACTTACATCATGTATTGTACAATTGGTTACATACGAATTACAAATATAATATAACGAAGTAACAACTCACCATCAGCTCCGGCAACGAAGGCGAATGCAGGAGAGATGATTAATAAAAATATTAGCGCCCCAAAGACGCGCATTCTACGGTCCATCCATACTACTGTCTTCTCTCTTAGTAGTCTTTACAATTTAATAGTTTTTGTATAATACATTATTAATCTGGCTCACGTAAGAATCTTGCAATTTGTGATCTGTTGTTTATAAAGAAATAAATAAGTTAAACATGGCCTCATATTTTTTTCTTTATCTTTTATCTTACTAATATTATAAATGCAAAAGTTTAGATAAGTGGATGAATGTTTGTTAAAAGGTATCTCTGGAACTGCACAATGGATCTTGATGAGATTTATCACAGATGTAGAACGAAGTCTGGAAGACTACATAGGCTACTTATTAAGTTAATTTTTTTAATTCCGAGCGGACTGAGTCGCTGACGACAGCTAGTTATTTTATGTATTTTTTTAATGTACCTTTCCGTTTTTCTCGCTCTTTCTTTTATTCTTTCTTAGATGCTTACGAAAATGTAACCGTGGTGTTTTACTGCCGAAACACAAAGAGTAAACATATTATATATTCAGTGAAAATCCACAGTTTGAGCAGTTTTGATTAAATACCATACAGATATCGCATGTTGATTTGATGACTAGATATTATGTAAATTACGTGTTGTAAGGCTAGACAAGTTAAATAGACAGCTTTTTTGTAGACGCGATTAATGTTGGGTTATTAAACTTTAAATATGCGTAAAAATTGCCACGAATAGAACTATACGTTTTGATACTTGTGATAAATTTTAATTTTAAGCGTCAATAGCCTAATAGTTAAGGGTACCGATTTCCGATTACGAGGTCGGGGCTTCGAATCCCGCCGTTCGACTATTGTCGTAAACTATATCCTAGCACAAGCCTACAGCTTAGTTGGAATGGTGAAAAGAAATAAGTAGAATAATATTTGAAATCTTACTCTACTTATTTCAAATTAAGTATCAAGTAACTATTACAAGAATCTAAAAATGTTCTAAACAATTTTCAAGCTTCATTTAAGTTACAATCTGAAGTGTAAATTTACAATAAAAATATAAACGACATTCATCTTAATCAAAATTAACAGTTAGTTTACACTACCACTCTGCTCTTCTCTGAGTATCTATGAAAGAATTGAGTTAACAATTTTTTTATATTCGTATTTCGGCAGTAAAAGCCCACTGTGACGATCTAAAAGATACCGGTACTGCACGAAACTGTGACTAATCTTACGTCCGCATCTTTTTTTTACAACTTAATAGATTCAAACGGAAATGTTCCCTAACAGTTATAATAAAATCGATAGACAACTTCTTTGCCTATAATTCAATATTTATTACTATTGTAAATGTAATATTTTTGCAACTAAATCCATTTAATTTACATAAATTCTTAACTACTATGAAAATTTTATAGCAAAAGATGTTTCGTAAATATATTATTTTAAATATAAACAGATTGTGTTTAGTAAGATTTGACTCTTTCTAAATTCTAAAAGTAACTTTTTTTTTATTCATTATTATAACCAATATTCTAAGTGGTCAGTTTTAATTAAGTACTTGCGACCTCTTTGGTACAATCCTTGCCTACCAAAGAGGTCGGATCACTTAACACATTAACATAACACATAAAACGAAAGATAAATCGCAAGAACAACAATTAAATTTAACACTAAGTCTTAATTAAATGCAAAAATTTGTTCATTACAATATTTTATTGTTATTTTACTTACATTCTGTAGAAAATTAAGATTTTTATTCCATCAACTTTAAATAATATATACACATAAAATTAAAACACAATATTATTTTCACGGTCAATATATCACATAATTAAAATTTAGATCACCTTTACCACAAAAATATTCCGTAACAGACACGTGAAACAATTTATTTAATATTCCAGAATATTTTTCTGTTAATATTCAACGAAAAATGTCGCGGGAAAATCCACGCAAGACACGTCGTTACACCGAGACGCTCCGTAACATACTGAATTTGTAACACGAATGTTGAAAAGAACCGGTTGTATAAAAATATGTTTTATGATTGTGTATATTAATGGGGACATAGTTTTAAGGCTGTTTTTTGCAATATTTAATAGCATCTCAACATATAATGCTTAACATGCGTTAGTTAGAATAGATAAAGAAATTCTTACATATATCAGTAAACTTAACGTTAGGCTTTCTATAACTCATCTAGTGTCAGTTTCCACTGCCAAAAACTTGTACAATAACATCTATCATCCCTTTATTCCCTTTAAAAGAAAATATATAACAATTAGTTAGGCTTGTTAGTTACAGTTGGCCGATCGATCTAACCCTTAACTTAGGGTAGCCTCCGAGCCTCTCGGTGGGGACGTATAGTGAGCTGGTGATGATGATGATGATCGGTCTAGTGTCCGCATCGATAACAAACCCGACTATTTAGTGGTGCCAGTGTACACAATTACAGCCAGATCCGACCAAAGTATAGGGTGACAAAAAAGTGTCTAGTTTGCATAAATATTGACATTTGCATAAAAAAAACTATATACCAGTATATTTCTGTGACGAAGGATAAGTTTATTTACTTAAAAACTATTTTTGTATTCCGACCATCATACGGCTAAATGCAACGCATTAGAAATAGTTATACAAACAATCAATGTAGGGCCACACTCGACGCGTGTACGAAGACATATCAAACAAAGAATTATGGCTCTATGATAAACATGAACACCCAAATCTCACAATGGAGATGTTTCATATCGCATTAGGCAACACAAATAGAGGAAATGCGTCTTTATTCACGGTTACACTTTCACTAAAAATATTCTTATACCGTATTGAAATAAGTAACTAACCGTGGGTTTCTTAAACCAAAATCTCCATATAAAACATACAGTCATCCTTGTCTTTCATCTTTTACAAAACAGAGATAACAATATGTCTTAAACGGGGAGTTTAGCATCAGACACGAACGATAACCAGACAAAAGAAGAAAGCCAATTTAAGACAGGCAACATAATATTTAACATTTCATTATGACCCTTTGAAGACACGTAAAACCGAATGCAACCACGGCTATCATAAGGTTAAATGTCAAATAACAAATGAAGTTAACCCTGACAGAGCTACACCAAAGTTAATCTGAACGTAACATTAGTGGTTAATGTAACCAAATACTTAGAAATATATTGTCTGATATATCGGTAGGTACTGGTAAACTATGTGAGCGAGTTAATCTCAATAGCTACTAATTCCAGTGAACGTAAATAGCCAGGGCGTCGCTGCGGCGCCTTTGGCTAATTTAACAATTTATGACTGCAGCAAGTAATGTTTATTGCTAACTGCACTTCTTTTACTTTACAAATAACTTTTAATGCTATGAGTTAGGACGCGTGAAAGGTAGTAGCTTCGATTTAGTCCGTTGACAGTTTAACTGAACATAAGCTTGTCCTAAAGGAATTTCCTCTGTAACCTGGATTTTTAACCTTTTAAGGTATTTTTCGACACTCCCTCAGGGGTTACACACTTGACTTGTGTGCAGTTTCTGGGTACGAATCCCGATGTTCTTACTTTTTAATTTTTTACAAAATTAAGTTGTCATTAAGCTAAGATGCTATATATAATGAACGAATTAAAAATAAAATACCTTATTTTCGAAAAGTTTAACTTTCAGACATAAATTTTAATGCCTTTTCTACATCAAGAGATTTTAACAAAAGTGTTTACATTGCTATTTGTTGTGTGAAGCGAACATAGGGCTCTATCTCTCCAAATTAATCATGATAGATAAGTCACGACCAATCAAATAACGGTCCTGCCTAAGTCCCTTCAATTGGCAACTGTTACATGCCATGTTACAACCTCTTTCTATTACATACTCCGTTATTATAGACGTAGAGATTAAAATCAATCGTCAAGATTAATCTTAGTAGAATAAGATTTATTTGATAATCGATTTATATATGCTGATTGAATATTGCTTTGGATTTATTTGTTTCGACTGCAAATATCAATAATTTTGTTTTGTATAATTTTTTTAAAAATGAACCTTCAAAAATATAATAGCAATTCTTCGTCTGCGAATATTAAGTATAATTTATAAAAAGTAGGGTTAGGCCAATATCTCAGAATAATCTTTATAATTTTTAGCACCTAACTAGTGTAAGTAGATCGTAGTCACAGTGGTCGTAATTGCCGTTCTATGTAAATCCATTTAAATATGTATTATTAGAAAAACATCAAATAGAACAATGCGTAGAATGGTACTAGTAAATTATAGTTCTAGTATGGTATTGTTTTATCTGTGGTAGAGTATAATATGACATTTAATTATGAGTGCGATTTAATGAAATTTAAATTGAGCATTACCAGTTAAATTCATATTCATTTCTCATCGGCTCACTATACGTCCCCACTGAGGAGCTCGGAGCCTACCCATATTTAGGGGTGACTAGGCCATAGTCAATCACGCTGGCCATGTGCTGGTTGGTTGACTTCACACATATCTTTGAATTTATTCGCAGATATGTTGTGCAGCTTGCATCACACTGTTTCCTTCACCGTAAGAACGTCGAAAAAATGTACATATGTAAATCGAATATCGAAAAACACATTAGTACATGGCGGGATTCGAACCTTGGACCTGCAGATTACCAGTCAAGTGCTTTAACCCCTGAGCCACCGACGCTCACATTATATACATTACCTGCTATACAATATTTTATTTCACAATTTCCTTACTGACGTCAAATTATTAATAATTGGAATGACTTACATCAGTAATGTGACTAACGTATGTTTAGGGGTTTTCGTGACAAACAAAACTTTGATTTTAAGAACAGAAATTAACTCATAGTTTTCAACGATCAAACCGGTAATAATGTTGTACTTAAATAGCGACCATATAAATATATATATATATACTTATACCAAACTAAAAAATAATATTATTAATCTTAATCCCAAATATTATGCTTACGTAGATAACGTAACATAATTCATAAAGCAATTTTTAATTATTTTATTACGTTCTTTTTGAAGCAATGCAAGTTGAGGGCGTTAACACCATTTAATTCCTATTAAAATGACATCAGGTAAAAATATAAACCGTAATCAGTATTCAATTGTTAATTGTTTGTTGGTTTACAAATAATTCTACTAATTTTTAGATAGAATCACTTGGCGCGAATAACGTGCTTTCATTACAAAGTCCAGTGTCAGAATAAAAAGTGAGGGGACATAAACGTCGACGTTTTAATTAGGCTAGCGTTGAGTCAATACACTGCCACATTTTCGAATTTTCTTCCTAACATAATGGAAAAATTGGAAACGGTAAATTAAAGTTTGGGAATTTCTTCTTAACAGTTTAGGTGATACAAAATTCAAAATCATTTTACTTACTAACGTTGCAACTAAAATTTATGTGTAAAATGATTATATATTTATATTAGTTTTATATATTTAAGTAAAAACATCAAGTTACAAATACCGGTTTAACATCTATTAAGTTCACAAGGATAAATTACAACTAATAAACTCATCATTTGAGTCAGCTGACATAAAAAATTCCCCCTCGATCAAATCATAATTTAATTATTCTGTTTTTATATTACAAATATTATTGATATTGTATATCTCATAGTTACATTAATAAGTCCAACTTTTAGGCCTTTGTCTTAATAAGGAAAATATCTTATCTTATATCTTTAAATGAGCAATTCTTGTATATATATAATTGGAATCTCGGAATCGGCTCCAACGATTTTCATAAAATTTAGTATACAGGGGATTTTGGGGCTGATATATCGATCTAGCTAGGAATCATTTTTAGAAAATGTCATTTTATTCGTGTTTTATCGATAATCAACTTAAACATAAACTTAACTTTTTCTATCGGTATGATCGAAAAATATTATTCATATTTCATCATTTTATTAGTAATTCGTACTTAAATATAATTTCCAATAAACACAATTTAAAAAAAAATACCGGTCATCCAGATTCTATCAGCTTAAATTGCAAATATACTAATACAAAAACACTACGTAAATCTTACTTCTTACTAATATTATAAATGCGAATACTTAGACGGATGGATGAATGTTTGTTAGAAGATATCTCCAAAACGATTGCATGGATCTCGCTGAAATTTTGCATACATGTAGAACTTAGCCTGAAACACATAGGCTACTAATTAAGTTTTTTTTAATTCCGCCCGGACTTAGTCGCGGGCGACAGCTAGTAAAATAAGTGTAAGTGCAGAATATTAGCACAACATTTTTGGATTTAATTAATAAAATACCACTGTCTCATATCAGAAGTTTGGGATTTCCATGTTGCATCCTAGCGTATGCATGACACATATTATTTCTTTTAACTGTATATATCTAAGCTATGTGTTTATGTAGTACTAAACAATTACATATATCCTGTCATTTTTAATTCGCCATCAATATTGTCAGATTTGTATTGGGAATGTCCTTTTTGCATTACTATTAAATTTGAACCGAAAACTATCTTAATTGTTATCCATATTGAGGAGTTATCGAGGAAATATGTGAAACAAACAACAAACGCATCTTACTGCAACCGTACACATATTTCAGGAATCATTACCTAAGTGTTCTTCCAGAATATGCTATACGTACACCTTTCACAGATATCCAAATAAACCAGATAAACCTTTATACTTGTGAAGGAAAACATCGTGATGCAACCTGCACATATCTGAGAAGAAATTCAAAGATATTTGTGAAGTCAACCAACCCGCATTAGGCCAGTGTGGTTGACTATGGCTTAATCACCCTTAACTTAAGACCTTACTTCATAGGATCATTTCTATAGTAAGTTCTACACGAGATCACCCTTAACTTAGGGTAGGCTCCGAGCCCCTCGGTGGGGACGTATAGTGAGCTGATGATGAGTAATAAAAATAATCCATGTCACTCAGCAATAAAGTAGATTATAAATTACAGACTAATTTTGGAAATAGAACCAGAAGTTTCGGAGTTGATTCCTTACATACAGAAATGCACATCTTTCCTACATATAATATAATTATTAGATTAAGTATTTGTTTTAAAATAGTCTATAGTTTTATGGCTGGATTTTTAGCTGAAAAAAAAATTAGCAGTTATGTAAAAAGCTAACTATTAATGAGCGAAATAATAAATTCAAATTAAAAAATAAGAGGAAAAATGCTACCTTATTTACAGATATGAAACTTTAATTCCACATCATGACTAAACACTATATACATGCATATATAAATACATAATGTACTTACTTACATCTTTACTGAAGGTAGCCGTGGTCAGTACGTCAGTAGCCGCGGGAACTCCGTGAAGGACTCACGTGTTTGACCATTTAAAACAAGAAAAATATTAAACATGTTAAGAAACATGTTAACAGTGTTATTATTAATAATTGTATCTGCAAGTGGCCAATTAGTTCCAAGTAAGTAATATTTTTCTTTCAAAATATGTAAAGTTTATTCTATGATTTTTAATATAATTTTTTTTGTTTTTTTTTTTGCACTTCATCCTCGTAAGACTGTGTTCTTTGTCTTAAGAAGTCGTTATATTAAAAAATAATTAGTGAATTTTAAGTTATATTTGTAGTAAATATTTACAGTAAATACTTTTTTGTCGCCACTTAATTTGAAAGAAATTCAATCTGTTAAGACTTTATGGGTTAGAAAAATGTATCGCTTTTTGTTACCTCAGTAATATTTTGCTGATCTTTATATTCGAATGCCTTAATCATGTGTAATATAACCATATATTGTTCTTATTATGTACTTACAAACGTAACTAACAATTCTTAATTAATTATATTAGTTAATTTTTTATAAAAATTAAGTATTAGTAGAAAATACATTCCAAAAAGCTTTATCACAAATTTCGTCAATTTGAAATTAAATTAAATAGCTAAGTAAGAAGCTAAATAATATATTAATGAGATACCTGTATTCGTATTTCGTTTATTTAATCAATATACGAACAAGATCTGTTTGACCTTTTTTTCGTTGCTACGTGAAATGCACCATAATAAATACGGAAAAGGTTACATGAGAAAAATGACACTATGGCATTATAATCAATTATTTTTTTTATTTCTTCTAACAACAGATAAGCTTAAAAAAGTTTGTGTTCGGATCTGGTTGAAGACAGTAGTCGAATGCCGGGATTCGAACCCACAACCGCTAGATCTATAGTCTATACCCATTAGTCTATTAATGCTTAAACTATAAGTATGATACCATTTTGTTTTTTTTTATTTTGACATTGGCATATTGATACAATAGTTTGGGTAGTTTATAATAAAATTAATAAATTCATTCCAAAATCAAAACAATCAGTTACAAAGTCAGACAACAATTATATTTAGTTGATGTTCAACAAGTTACACCGGTTTTATGAATAATCTACAAGGCGACCAGGAAAATGTTGCAAAAACCTTAGTCGAAGCTAACATTGCATGTTTTTTTAAACTTGCCCGAATTAATTTATGTATGTATAAAGTTATTATTACCGAAAAATATTATAGAAAATATTTTAAAAAAAGCAGAAAAAAATTATTAAAACTTTAAAGTCACAATAAACTTCGCACGATTAGTTAAGAATACACTATATTCATATTCTTAAAAAAAATTAAAAAAAAATGGATCCTCAATCAACAAAAAATAATACCACGTATAAACTTACAAATTCCCACGCTCGTCACAAAATCCAACATTGTAGGTATAGATTTATAAATGCCATTACGAAGTCTTGAAATGTACAGGACAAGATCTGCAACAGGAAAATGTAAACTCAACAGTAGTATTTAAGTATATGTATGTTCTTCTATAGATATAAACATATAATACTAGTTATAGCCCGCGACTCCTTCCGCGCGGAATAAAAAAAAAATAATTAGTTCCCGGCAATTATTAGAATTTTTCTCACCTTTTAAACCTTCCATAGACTTTAACGAACATTTCAAGACTAACATAAGATAAACCCGTTCAGTCCTTTTTAAGTTTTAGCGAGACTAACGAACAGCAATTAATTTTTATATAACATTCAAAAATAGTTATTAAAAGCAGTGTTTTATAAATCAAATATTTGGAAACACGGACAAATATGATGATATATATACATTTCACAATATTCATTTTTAGTTGTATATTACAAGCTTTTGCCGGCCACTCTGTCCGCGCGGAATTAATAACTAATTAGGTAGCCTATGCGTTCTTCACTATGCCAAACACCGACATTTATTGAGCCGTTCTGGAGATACCTTTTAACGTTCAACTATCGATCTAAACTTTCACATTTATAATATTAGTTAGATTGTTGTTTCCTATCGGAATACATCACTGTATATAAATTCGCGAACTTTACATTTCATCATATCTTAATCGAAACAAGTGACAATAATATTTTAACATACACTTAATAAGCTTGAACGTATTTCCAGGGACGTGCGATGACTGCATACTGCTAAGCGCCTGTCCGGGAGCGGTCTATCAAGTCGCCAACCACAAGAACAAGCGCACGGAGGAGATTATCAGGAGTTCCATTTGTTCTTCCGAGTATGTCAACAGTATCCCAAAGGTGAATAGTAAAACAGACTTCTAACCGAATGACCTTGAAGAGTGAGATGTATTTCATTTATAAACTTCTCACGTGTGGCCTTCAGAATAGAACACATTATACGTATTACTAAAAAACTGACAATCATACAATCAAACGTGTATTTTGGTATTTACCGGTAACAGACGATTAACCCTAGTAGTGCGATAAAAATATTAATCTACCATCAAAATAATCTGTTAATTCGTTTTTTTCAAGGTATGCTGCTCCGCGTTCCCGCCATCCCAGGAAGAGATCGATAACCATCCTAACTTGAACTTACTACCGAGCGAGTGCGGAGAGATAGAGGGTAGCCAGATTGTCGGTGGAGAGGCCGCCAAGTTATACGAATTCCCCTGGATAGTACTCATATCCTATGAAACACGTATGTCAAACCCATACCTTAATAATAATTCTGACACATTTTTAATATTTAAAGAGAGTTACTTAAACAGCACCTTAGATTTCTCATGTGTTCTGTCATCTCTCATAGTGGCAATGAATAATGTTTAAGTAATAGGAAACAGGAGCTCTCATTTACAGACCTTAATAGACCGACTTACTTATTAAATAAAATAATTATAGTACTGTTCCATCTATGACGAGTCCCTACTAAAAGATTTTTTCAATTTATTTCTATATTGTTGGGAAGAAAATCCGACACTGACCGGTGTATTGGCGCAACACTAGCCGTATTTAAATGTCAACGTTTATGTCCCCTAACCAATTAATCTGACACTTGAATTGGTAACGAAAGCGCGCCATTCGCGCTAAAGGATTCTTACTAATAATGTCTAAAAATATGGAGGATTAAAAACTTCTTTTCTTAATACAGGTATCGGCAAACAGTTTCTCTGCGGAGGTAGCCTGATAAACTCGTTGTATGTGATGACGGCGGCTCACTGTGTTAGAGATAAGAAGATTGCTGGAGTGAGAATTGGTGATCATGATTATTCATCCAAAGTTGATTGCGAAAAGGACACCGATATATGCGAGTCTCATTATCAGGTTCGAAAATTCACATACCATAGAGATCAAAAGACATTAAAAATGTTTCGCCTTTTTATCATCCTTGGTTTTATTAGATAGAGCTACAAGGCGTTAATATTTGGTTAGATCAGTTGTTACCAAACTTATTTTGTCTACTGCCCATTTTGAGAAGCTAATTAATTATTGTGACCTACATATGCATATTAACAGAGAATTCTAAACGAAACTTTTCCTGTAACCTGCAGCGCCCACAAGGGGGCGATATCGCCTACTTTAGGAAGGACTGGGTTAGATAATTATAACTTTCTCATCATCATCAACCTGCCCTTATCCCTATCGAGGGTCGGCACAGCATGTACTACTCCTCCATACATCTCTATCAGCCGTCATATCCGAGTCTACCCCCTTCTTACGCATATCCTCTTTCACACAGTCATTCCATACTTTTTTTGGTCTTCCTCTACCCTTGTAGCCATCCACATTCAATCTCATTACTTTAATTATAACTTTCTGAATAAGATAATTCTTTTCTTGGATAAAGTTGAGTAATGTGCAGTTATTACTTACGATTGAATTCATTGGTGGTTAATAACATGTAAGTCTTGAATATGTAATTGCCAGTCAATAGCTTCCACCTCCTAAATTCGATTTTAGGAACACCTTAAGTTTTGAAGAAAACCTTAACAGGAAGCCACGTAACCTTTCAACACGAATAAGATATAATTAGTTTAAGATTTCATTCCTCTTGTCAAATGAATAAATAAGTAAATAAAAAAAATCCAATCTTTACAGGACATTGGGGTATCGGAACGAATTATTTATCCTTCATACCAAGGCCCGCCTGTTGTCCGTCACGATATCGCGCTACTTAGACTGAAGAGACCAGCAGACCTTTCGCGCAGTAAGTAACAACCATAAACCAAACAGAAATTCATGTTTCTTAAAAAATATTCTTAAAATAAATAAATTAATTTTGTTAGGAAACTACGGTACCATATGTTTGCCAACATCGAAGAATCTAAGGGAACGCAATCTTGACGAGGAGAGGGCTGTGGTTGCCGGCTGGGGTTTGACTGACAACAACACCGTTTCCACGCTTCTGCTCAAAGTTACCGTGCCCATACGCTCCAGCGACAACTGCAAGCAGTACTACGGCAGGTACGTGAATGATGACCTTCTTAGGTTAGCCTCATATTTCCTTCCAACATCTTTATTAGGTAGCACAATCGGTGCAATACCACCACGTTAGAGATAGGCGTAAGAGTGTGTGTGCCAGATTTCTTACTTTCCTTTTCTCTACTTCTCTCCCTCTCTCTCCTTCTTAGATTTGGTGGAGGTGGGGACTCTTAGAGAGGGGAAATATCCTATTTTTGTGTGTCCCCTCCTTGTACGATTAAAGGTATAGATATCTTCAAATATCAATTCCACCTGCAGTAGTATCATTTGACACCATAAAGTTTGAACCTTGTCATGGCAACAAAACATTTTCATCGTGATGTACATACAAGTTTAATCTTACTTTTAATGGGAGATAAGGGGATAAATAGAAGAAAATACTTTTTGCTATTCATCTCTTCGCCCGGTCAAAAACGATTTCTTAATTCCTAAATAAAATAAAATGAGATGAAACTTAGGATTTCAGTAGTAACATGTTTTCCAAAATTAGACTTTGAACGACACGGGCATCGAAAAATTTTAATATACAGCTGGTTTTTATTCACTTACAGAAACAGTAAAGAAGACATCACGAAGACCATACTTTGTGCGGGAGAGCTGGGTAAGGATTCGTGCAAGGGAGATTCCGGTGGTCCCCTGATGGTGGCAGAGGAAGTGGACAATGTATACAAGTACATTCAGCACGGAATTGTCTCCCACGGGCCAAGCAAATGTGGGTCCCTATTCCCCGGAGTATATACCGATGTCTCTTGGTACATCAAATGGATATTGGACACTATTAAGCCATAAGAAATTATATCAAATTAATTTGTACGTTTCATTTTCGAGATATAAATAAATGTAAGTTTAGATAATTATTGTTTTATTTATAACTAACTGCGACTTTATCAGAGCGAATTTAAAAAATATTGCCCATGTAATGTCCGCATGCATCTACCAAAGTTCCGTCAATTGCTGGTTAGCCGTTGGGCCATGTCTTGCGACACGAAAAATATGAACTTCAACTCATAATGATAGGCAAAATCGCAGGCAGAACACGAGTTGGAAGGTGGAGAAAGTCGTGCCTGAAAAATATCCGGGAATGGATCACTATTGCCAACGTTGAACAACTTTTTCGCTTGGGATAGGACAGGAAAGAGTTCGCTGAGCTGACGGCCAACATCCAGTAATGAAGAGGCATTAGAAAAAGAAGAAATTTCGGAGATATAATTGCGAATTTGCAGCCAGACAAACATATAAGCAACGCAAATACATGGTGTTTACGATTTTTTTTGTTACATACTGACACTCCAATTTTATTAATTTATATAATGTAAGTATAGGTGATTTATTATCATCATTTCGAACCCATCCATGAAGAGTTACACCTTTTTAGAGATCTCATAAGAAATATAATTATTTTCGTCAGTCATAACTGTTCTGCGAAAAATGTAAATTTTTAAATTGTTCTTTGCGTCTTAATATCAAAAAATTAAAGAGACTCGAGGAAATGATGAATTCGGTTATGGATTAGCAACCGTCTCCTAAAGCTTCTGTAATATTTAGCAATGAAATTAAATATGTGTACAGTGATTTAAATTAAAGTAAAATTCTTTTTCCTTGTAGTAAATAGAAGCTAAACTGCTAAAACTCCTTAAACAATACGTTAAGGATAATATCGTCCTATTTGTGAATAGATGTCGCCCTCGACTCCATCTGCAAGGATTACAGAAAACTTAATTAGTAAGCTATGTGTTCTTCCAGTTTATGTTCTAAATATATACCAAATTTCAGCGAGTTCCATGCAACCGTTCTGGACATAAATTCAAACAAACATCCATCCATCTAAGCATTCGCATTTATAATATTAGTAACATAAAACTGTGTACATGTGTGTAGCATCTGCTTTGGTAATTCCAGAGTAAGTTACCATAATCGGTTTTACCCATTGCAATATTAAGTAATAATTATGTTTGCTATTGAACGGTATAAATAGTTCTCGTGGAAATTTTTTTTGTTATTCGCTTGAAATAAGTTCAAAGGAGTTGTGAACAAATGTTTTAAAAATGTTTGTGACTATATTACTTTTATCATTGTCTATAACTGTTATAACCAGCTTAAGTAAGTAACTTTATAATTATTTAAAACGCCAATTTTTAAGGATATTACGAAATGGGTAAAATTGTAATTTTACAACTTCATTTTTCACTATCTCAATTATTCCACCATTTTTTCACTCTATTCTTTTTCATATTATTCGCGGTGTCGTATTACCGCCAGTACGACCTTCTTGGCTGTTAACAAACTCTTTCGTGCTACCAAGGAGGTTCGATACCTTTAATACGCGTTATACAAAATAAAATATATTTATTCTTTTTCGCTATATGGGCAGAGACATATCAAAACTAGGGTTGTATCCTGTCGAATGGATCACTAGCTGTGGGTTTCTGAAACCAAAATCCTCAGTTTAAAAGCCATTTTTTTTTCTTTAAAATCTATTAAACATTGATTTTAATTACAGATACTTGTGAAAATTGTATTCCTGCAAGCCAATGTCCGAGCTTATTACAATTAATATCTCGTGATAAGAGTAAAAAAACGCTAGAGATTATAAGAAAAGAAGTTTGCGGATTCGATTTGAGTTTAAGACAACCTAAGGTAAACTTTGGAATTTAAATTCTTACTACTATCAGTTTTATAACTAGATGTTTTTATATATTATTGATTTATTAAAAATAATAGCTATCGTCCGCTACTCCGTCCACGCGGGATTAGAAAAAACTTAATTAGTACCCTACATGTTCTTCCAGACTATGTTCTACATCTGTGCCGAATTTCATCAAGATACGTTGAGCTTATATACCTTGTAACAAATATCTATCTATATAAACCTTCGCATTTATAATATTAGTAAGATTTTACAGGTTTGTTGTGATAGTTTTGATAATCAAGAAATCGAAAACGTAACGTTGACAAATGAAATAACTAATCATCGCAATGTACACCTTTTACCGACGGATTGCGGTCAAATAAAATATAGTAGACTGCTTGGGGGATATGTCGTATGGGATAACGAGTTTCCATGGGTCGTTCGTATCGCGTACAAAAACAATGGTAAGATACAAAAAAAATCTTTATTCTAAACTAGCTGTCGCATCGACTCCGTCCGCGTGGAATGAAAAAAAAAACTTAATTAGTTTCCGCCAATTATTCGAATTTTTCTCACCTTTTAGACCTCCACGAACGTTTCAAGACCAAGATAAGATAAATCCGTTCATCCGTTCTCGAGTTTATTTACTAATATTTACTGACGTACAGCAATTGACTTTTATATATATAGATAGAGAAGAGATAGAGATATGCACTGGTAACTGACTTTGAGACATCTCTACAGTGTTCAAGGTGGCAGAATACAGACTAATTTACGCTTCTGGAGTACCTAAGCGTTGTTAGGCTCTTTAGACGTATATATATGGATAGATCTTTTTTAACCGACTTTCAAAAAAAGAGGAGGTTCTCAATACGTCAATTTTTTTTTTGATGGAAATTGACAAAAGATATGGTCAGTTTTTTTTTACTTTCTTTTGTTGAAAAAATAATTTTTTACACCAACACTCTCTGTTGAGAAATATTATATCTCTATATAGAAGCAAATATTCCTCACAGTTACTTTTAAATTTAAAATATAATATAATGTTAATATACCACGGACAAAGAATTAGTTTAGCTGTCCAAAGGGGGAACGCTGCCAGTATCTTAGGGACCTTGTCTATAGGGACTCCTTTTAATAATATATTTTAGTACATTATTCGTTTTATTAATATTTTATTTTATTAAATGGATTGTTAAATAGTTATTAAGTAAGTTGGTTAGGTTCTAACTTTATTTTATTTATATAATATTTAATTAAAATTGCAGTGGATCGTACGTTTTCATTCGAATGCATGGGTACCTTGATTAATTCGCGATACGTGTTGACATCAGCTGATTGTGTCATGAACAGACGTATCGCCGGTGTAAGAATCGGTGGTCGTACCCAAAGACTGGATTGTGCAGATTCTATTTGCGAACGTGACATACAGGTAATTATTTTTATGTACTCACCAAATTCTTCATAAATTAATTTTTATATTAAAATGGAGAGGGAAACATTATTGTCTTAACATAGTAGAGTAGGGTTCCATTAAATGAGAGAGATAGAGTTTGAGTTATTGTCAACTACATTTCTTGGCTGACTATTAAAGGCTGTTGGCTTCTCTAATATTAACGTATATTTTTTCCCCAGGACATAGGCGTATCAGAACAGATCTCTCATCCAGAATATACAATAAATTCAAGGACATTAAACAATATAGCTCTTTTACGTCTCAGAAACCCAGTGGACTTATCAAAAGGTAAATTAATAACAACGAAATAATCCTTTAGTTAACACGAGTGTGTAATAGAAATACAAAATGGATAAGTAATTTAGACAATAAATTCCCAATTTTTAGAAATTTTAATTGTAAATAGTGGGCGCTGCAGGTTTCAAGGGGGGTAAGAGACCCAGAAAGAAAATGGGAGCATTGTGTAGAGGCCTAGGGAGTGATTCGTAATTTTTTTTAGCTGGGAGGCCTCTTAGACAACGACTGCATGAGCTCTCGACTCTCAACAACTTGGGAATATCAACTAATATGAATTAAAAGATTGCGTGAACTCTAATATGGGGGCGCTAAAAAATATTTATTCTCAAAGTGGGCAGTAGACAAAATAAGTTTGGGAACCACTGGCCTAATAATTAAGTGTACGAATTTCCGATTTCATGGTCGGGAGTTCAAATCCCGTCATTCGACTATTGTAAACCATATCCTAGCACAAACATAGAGCTTAGTTGGAATGGTACAAGAAATATTAGTAAATTACTGAAAGATCTGTTACTATTATACTAAAAAAACTCGTACAATAACATCTTTAATTGTTTTAGAAAGCGCTGGTGTAATTTGCCTGCCACTTCTTGAAGAACATAGAGAAAGGAATATAACTGAAAACATGGGTACAGTTTCGTATTGGGATGAAAATGAAAGGGAAACGCAATTTAAAATTCATGCATCGATATCTACAAACGAAAGATGTGTTCTTTATACAAACAAGTGAGTGTACAAAAATATGTTTGTCTCGATTTTACCAAAGATTAAGAGAGAGATGAAAATAGGATACGTGTTTTGGAATTGAAAAGCTTTTTATTTATGATTTTATGGCTTCTATTTTACTTATATTATAAGTGTGAATGTTTAAATAAATAGATATATAGAAGGATTTTTGTTATCTCCAGAACTGCATGGACCTCGATAAAATTGGTAACGGATATAAAACACTGGAAGAACCCGTAGGCTAAAGTTCTTTTTTAATTCCGCGCGGACGGAGTTACGGGCGTCAGCTAGTAACCCATATGTTCCATCAATTTTAATTTCTAATCTTCCATTATTATATAGTAAGTGGTGTGTCTTAAATTAAGCTTTTTTTTCAGACATATAAATGATAGAACAGGTTTGTTAAATAACAGCATTTGTGCACAAAGAATTGGCACCAAACACTGTGAGACCATCCCTGGATCGCCACTGATACTGGAAGGTTCATATCCTGACTCTTATAAGTACCTTCTATATGGTATTTTGATAACAGCAAAGCCTGAATGCGGCCCAGAAATCTACACAGATGTTAGAAAGTATATGAAGTGGATATCGGACACCATTAGGTCTTAGACGAAAAAAGTTGCAACCTTTAAATTTGCTGTAATAAAATTTGTATTAAAAATGTTGTCTCTGTTTTATTCAAGGAGAAAGAAAGGGATGATATTATATACGACATATCTCTTTAAAGTTAATTGCATAAAATTTATCAAATTTATTTCATACTAGCTGTCGCCGGCGAATCCGTCCTAGGGGAATAAAAAAAAAATAAGTAGTAATGTTCTTCTAGACTACATTCTACATGTATCATTATTAAGATAAGAAGTAAGATTCCCTGAACTTAAGAGAAAGTTCATAATGTAATATACGCCCTCTACTATCAATAAACGATAAAATAAATCAGTTAGTTAATATAAATAGCTTTATAAAGAAACTTCACTTTATACAAGAGGTAAATAAACGCGTATCTTGATAACCTACAACTATGGCTTCTAAAAACGGTCTTCTAACATATTTAAATGACATCATATGTCCACTGCCGAAACATCTATATAAAATATACTGTTATTTCTATTCTTTCGAGGGAAATGAAAAGTACTTATAATGTTTATGTTATATTTAAAAAATGATAGAGCCCGCTTTAACGTCTTCGCACGAATTGTCCGGTGAAATACTACCACCACACTGAAAACAGGCGTCAAGTGGAAGCAGTTCCGCGTTTCGGCTGATGAGGATGCGTCGCGGAGGCTTAATTTTGTCCTCTTTAACTTCCCACCCTTTTTCTTATAAGGAAAGGTTGGGAAGTGGAAGTGGACTTTCTGTATGAGAGGATGCATAAAAAGGAAAAATAATTTCTTTCCGTGCATCCACTCCTCCGTCGATTAAAGGTAAATTGCGTATGTGTGAGTTCAGGTGGTAGCTCGCTCGTTTGCCATCTTATGATATAAAAAATGTACCAGCCATTGCCAGTATCAGTTATCCGATCCATAAAGCAGTTGTTACATATTTATTGTCCGGATCATATTTATCATTTAAAAAATGGTCAAATTAATTAACGTTTAAGCATATAAAATGCACTTAATAAAATAGACTCTTCACTAATTATTACAATGTGACCAGCCTTAAAGACATATGTAGAAATGATAAGGAACGCCTACGTGACCATCCCTTGAAACTTGAGGAAAACTTAAACAAAAGAAACCCAATGCTGCATTTCTTCCCAATTAGAGTAGTTTTGGTATGGAAAAAAATGCCAGATAATGTAGTCATGTCTCTATCAATAAATTCTTTTAAAACAGACTCGATAACAAAATATCTCCATACTATTCGACAAATATATAAATATAAATATTTTGCAGAACTCCGATAAGCTCAATAAAACACAATAAATTGGGTAAAACCAGATGGCTAGTATAAAGCCAGCCAGGAAAGCGTGAGTCCAGAAATTATATAGGAGGTGGCAACGAACATTGGGTGTAATTAGTATTGAGAAAGACACGGCGAGACGTCAACGTGCCTTCACGATGCGTCTGCAATCTAGTGTGTTGTGCTGTGTACTCCTGGCGGCTCTCACCACTGCCCTCAGTCAGTACTAATATATATTCACTAATATTATTTCTTTTATAAATACTAATTTAAAAGTATACTAGTAAAAAGTTAAAGCGTGAGTCCCAATGCTTACTTTGATATCATTTTTATGTGCATACAAGATATTGTGTTGTTTTTAAAGTGTATTTGTATATATATGTGTATAGTCTGATATAAGAATAATTAATAAAAATAAATAGTTAAATATTTGTTGGAATTGGATATATTTTTGTTATGAATAGGGAAAAGTGAGGAATATTTTAAAAACAATTATAGGAATAAGATACAAAATCACCGATAAATTTGGTTAATTAAACAATAGATTTTATTTATAATAACAGGACAATGCGACGATTGCGTTAAGATACTTCAGTGTCCATCAGCGTTGCAGATAATCCGCACAGACCATAGTGCGCCAACAATCCAACGACTGCAAAATGCACTCTGTGGTTTCGACGGTGTTCAAAAGGTAATTCTCCTAAATTCCTATACAAACTTTTAAACGACTAGAAGATACAAAAATCGGTTCCTTATCATTAGCAAGGTTATATGATTTATTTTTATAAACATCGAGACTATTTTGTAATTTATGATAACCTCTCAACTGTAGGTGTAACTGCGTTTGGATTTGTTCTTAAAGTAATTAAAATAAATATATTTAATCTGTATACAATGGACTTTCATAAAAATATTAATTAACGCAAACGCACTTTTAGGTCCTTTTTTGATGCTCCAGAAACGAAGTCTTATCAAGGAACGTAATGTTACTTTTGTTGTAAACAGGTGTGCTGTTCTGATTTCTTGACAACTCGATTTTACGGTAATAATGAAATCGATGACAACGCATTAACTTCTGGAGACGAAATCGAAAATCATCGTAGCATCCGTCTTCTACCAACTGAGTGTGGCGATATGGACGGGAACAGAATTGTCGGTGGAACCGTTGCGGGCCTGTACGAGTTTCCCTGGTTGGCCCTCATTGCGTACAGAAGTGGGTATTGTCAAATATTAGCTGCACGAAATAAGTACAGGAATATCAATGTTCTAAGAATTTGGACGCTGTTTGATTTTAGATGAAAAATCTTTGAAATTTAAATGTGGAGGTTCCGTTATAACTGCAAGATACGTGCTGACCGCCGCGCATTGCATCAATAAAGATTTAGTAGCAGTTAGAATTGGAGACTACGACATAAGCGCACCTGTAGATTGTGTGGGGGAAGATGAAATACGCGAATGTGAATCAAAGTATCAGGTAATCTGAATTATTGTTTAGTTAAATATCGCAGCTTCTAATTTATGGCAGATACCGTCGTTAGTTTATATAACAGGGATAACGAACCAATGGTGCCGTGTGATCATTATTTGCAATACGAAAAAAGTGTGAGATAGGTGTAATGGTGATGGGCATTCGCGAGTGATTCCTACTATACTAAATGTTTTTAATAATCACAAAGTCAAAAAAATGTATGGAACGTCTGAGAGATTCTAATAGATTTAAGAGTTCAGTCTAAAACTTTCTCTTCACACAACTGGACATTGATACGAAAAGGTTCACCACCCCATTTATAGAAGATACTGAATAGTTATTATAGTTTCAATCAAGTTGAAAATAGTATGTCAAAAGACTTTTTGTTTCTGCAACAGGATATCGCCGTTACCCATCGTATACATCACCCCAAATTTGTCACAGTACCAATGAGCCAGAACGACATCGGACTACTACGTCTCGCTACTTCTGTGGACTTTTCTTACAGTAAGATTCATTGTAAAACCATTAGCACATACTGATGTAGAAGATTAGTTTATTATCAGCTTACTGGCATTCGTTGATTTTGAATTTTGGATCTGTTTCATTGAGTTCGGTATCTCGGGTGGCTTGAACAATGAGATATCTTCCGATTGGTATGATCATAGGGTAACAGACGATCCATTATTAGATTTCCAAAGACAAATATATAGTTCTAAGACTGAAATTTTTTTTGCTTGTCGCCTGTTCGCCAGGCCTCCTCCAATAATTGCCACGATGATTGATCTTTAAATTCTGAACTACTTTTATCTACAGGAAATTCAGGTACAATTTGTTTACCGATAATGAGGGATCTACGAGAAAAAGATCTAGCACAAGAAGTCGCTACGGTAGCCGGTTGGGGAGCGACAGAGAATCAACAGCAATCCAATGTTCTACTTAAAGTTCAAGTGCCTATATTCCCAGAAACGACGTGTAAATCCTTTTTCAGAAGGTGAGAAAATACAAATCCTATTTACGTTTCTATTTAACGTCATTCCAAAATATGAGGTTCGCCGTTTTTTGAGGAGATAAATCCGAGCGACGGGCACAATGAGGCTTGCAGACATTAGCAACGCAAGAGAAACTACTGATGCCTTTGTGAAAGAGTTACGCTCGCTTCTTAAAGCATCTTAGGTGGTACTGGTTTAGAAGTGCTGCCGAGGACAGAACGTTCCATAACGCGGCTGTTCCTCCGGAGATTTCATGCCATCCTTACAAGGTGTCGAAAGTTAAAATAGATACTAAATTAGATTATCGAGTAGAAGTACAAACAATTAATTATTAATAAAATAAAGTCTAGACCAAAGCTGCAGACCATAGGAAGAAGACTAAACAACGTAAGAATTGAATTTGAATTGCGCTGATGTACCTGTAATGCTAAATCTGTAAAGATATTGCTTTTTTTAATGATTATAACAAATACCAGTCCGATTTCAATGTATTATTTAAGTATATTAGGTGTATTTTGTACATGTCGGCTCTGTACTAAAAATGATTCACTAAATTTCATGATCATCCTTAAACTTCTATGAATATAACAGTACAATAATAAATTAACAAATTTTCCCTATCTCTATGAAACCTTTTCTGAAATTCTTAGTCTTTAAGATGTTCGTTGTATTTAATACAGGATTTTTAATTTTTTTTAAAGTTTATTAACTAAAATTCTTGTACGAAATATTTGAGGTTTTTTTTTTTATATCATAAGGTGGCAAACGAGCGAGCGGCCACCTGTAATCACTGAAATAGCGAAGTAACCGTTGCCCATAGACATACGTAATTGCATATGCGTTGCCTACCTTTAATCGACGGAGGAGAGGATGCACAGAAAGAAAATATTTACATACATGCAAACATACTGTTGAAACTAATAATATAAATGTTTGAAAGTAACTAACTATATATTTTCCAGATCCTTGCAATCACCTCTATATAAAAAAAGCAGCATGAATAACACAATATGCGCCGGCGAACCTGGCCGTGATTCTTGCAAAGGTGACTCCGGAGGACCTCTTATGATCGAAGCACCTTACAACGAGACATATAAATTTGTTCAATTCGGCATCGTGTCTTACGCATTTGAGCAATGCGGTTCAAGCTTACCAGGAGTATATACCGATGTTAGAAAATATATGAAATGGATTTTGGATACCATTAAACCATAGAATTTTTGTCAGACTAAATATATAATAAAATTAATTAAATTATAATGTGATCCTCTTTTTAACATATAGTTTCATAACGCTATTGATTGCTACATATAATAAATTCAATGCTTAACCGACTGTTGTTTTATTAATATCTGAACACTTATTCATATAAGGAGCGACCTGAATACGTTAAGCAAAATAATAGCTTTGAAAAGACACAGAGTTAAACAAGTTAAAAGGTTGCAGATGAGTGGTAAGATGCTTTATGTTTCTGTTCTGAGGCTGTCCTTTTGAACAGAAGAGATGGATACGCAGAAAAAGAATATTACTAATATTATAAATGCGAATGTATGGATGTTTATTTGAAGGTATCTCCAGAACGGCTGCGAGATACATCTCACTGAAATATGGCATAGACACGAACATAATCTGGAAGAACACATAGGCTACTAATTATATTTATTTTCATACCGCGCGGACGAAGTCGCGTGAGACAACTAGTATTTATAAGTATATCAAAGTGGAGAGAACTACAATTTGTAGCGTGTAGTCGTGGTATTGTAGCGATCGATACTATTCCTTCAGCAGCTAATACTTCACCTGAATGTTTGTAACAAGATCGTCGTTTGTCGACAAGTTTGTAATGCATCAGTGGCTCAGGGGTCAAGCACTTGACTTGCAATCTGCAGGTCCTGGGATCGAATCCCGCCATGTACCAATGATTTCCGATTTACATATGTATACATTTATCCGACGTTCCGACGAAATTCAGAAATATGTGTGAAGTCAACAAACCCGCACTTGGCCAGCGTGGTTGACTATGGCCTAATCACCCTAAACTTAGGGTGGGCTCCGAGCCCCTCGACGGGGACGTATAGTGAGCTGATGATGATAATTATGTTTGTAACAAGTGGATAATCATGTATCTTTGTTATGTACATAAAATAAATTGCATATAACCATTATCACTCAGTCATTTAATTACATATATTTAAATAATCTTTGTATATGTGTAAAAATACATAAAAAACAATAATGGCAACAAATAGAATATAAATAAGAACTAAAAAGAAGTCGTAATTAGTGTATTCTTATAAAATGTCGGACTTTATTCGACCCGATGAACATAAGTGAATATAATTACGATATCCCACTAGCACCCTGGACAATGCTAAAAAAGTGTCCCCAAGACCTAAGTCGTCTTAGTCTACTGTATCAGCTTTGTCATGTTTTTTCTTTTATATGTTTAACATTGGCGATAGTGAACTATCATACTTACCAATATAAATATTAAATAGTAGCTGTCAACCGCCACTCCGTCCGCGCGGAATTAAAAAAAACTCAATTAGTAGCCTATGTGTTCTTCCAGGCCATGTTCTATTTGTATCCCAAATTTCCGAGCCGGTCTGGAGATACCTTCAAACATCCATCAATATAACCATTGGCATTTATAATATTAGTAAGAATAAGATAAAATTTAAACAATACAATGTTATGTGTAACAAAATACCATATGCAAATTTTGCAGGAAATTCGAATGACGTTTGATTTCCACTTGTTATTGCAATTAGGTTCATAAGTCAGTTGCGATAACCCGAGCATAAGACGACGAATGATAAAGAGAAAAAACCCAAACACACGGCTGGGTTTTACAATATAATTATTATGGAACAATTAAACAATGCAGACAATTATAATTAAGGATATTTTAATTCAAACATAACGCAATATTATAGTATTTGGTGTAAACAATCGTGACAATATACGTCATAGACGTCGTCACACCCAACTGCAGCGTACCTCCTGGGCCATATCTTCCATAAAATGCACTTCAGATATACAGTTAGTTGCTGCAAGAATGTGCCAGCAAGAAGGGATGTTGGAATATATAATGCGAATGGAAATTCATCTTTAAGTATTTAAAATGAATCTTTAATCTATGATGTTACATATTATAATAAAAAATTTAACTAAAAGATATTATTAAAAGAAGTCCCTTTAGGCAAGGTTCCGAAGATACTGGTAGCGTTTTCCCGTTTGCCCAATCCGGTAATAATAACGAAGTAACGGCCCGAGCCAAGGTTCCTGAGGGAGCCCTCGAGCTTAGTTATTCTTAAACGAGGTTTAGGCTAAGTGCCATCTGCGCTCGGCCACCTCAAGCTCGGTGAAGCTGTAAATGCCTCCTCAAGGCAAACAGTGGCAATCAGTCACAAAAAAAAAAAAAATCGTCATATTCCTGGCCTTATCCCACTAACGTGGAGTTGGCTCAAGGTTTTATAAACTTTAATAAAATTTAAATAATAAAAATTCTGATTTACATATAAAAAAAGTTATTTGGAAGGAGTTTAGAAGTCGTGTTTTAAAAGTATGCAATTATTCCGTAAATCAACCGAAACTATTTGGCTGGTAACTTAAACCGTAAGATAAGTCTGAGCAAAGTCGAAATACGTTTTATAAACAGTCTCAGATAGAGTAACTATAGATGAGCACAATTCTTTAAATGGCAAACACATGTTTTTAATAGAGCTAGTTTCCAAGGTAAAAGTTAGTCGAAATTAATCGCGAAAAATGATAAACGCACGTACAACAATTAATAAGACTGAAATTCTTAATCAAAACAAAATTAAATTTTAACTGGTAATAAAAAAATTATAAGTAAATCTTTTTTTATAGTGAATAAGCTAGGGCTTGTCCACACTCCCATCTACTAACTACTACGTTTACAACTGCTTATGATGAATGTTCGAAAAGTTATGTGAACTAGGTTCTTTAAGATTTAGGTATTAATCAAATACATGGTAAATGACAAATATCAGGTTAAGATAATTTTTAAATATCATTTAATTTATGTTATTTTATTAATGGGAATTAAAGGAAGAATATTCAGAAATTAATAAATAAAATTATTATAAAAAAATCTTTTGTCTATCGACATATGTACCATGGATTTAAACCTAATGTTTTACCAAATAAATAATTATAATGAACGTAAAAAAAACACTGATTTTTTTTACCATAAATCTAAGGTTTCAGTGATAAACTCAAAAATGTACGAACTACGGTACCGTAGTTCGGCCCTAAATTGTAAAAGAATATTTGCATTACGATAATAAGAACACAAAAAAAACAAATTGGGTAAAACCAGGCGACTACTTCAGAAGAGTATGTCCAGAAATTATAGATATGGTCGTTACCAACATACTGATGTTACGCTCGCGTAGTTAGTATCGAGAACGACACGGCGAGACGACAACGTGCCTCCACGATGCGTCTGCAATCTAGTGTATTGTGCTGTGTACTCCTGGCTTCCCTCACCACTGCCCTCAGTCAGTACTAATATATATTCACTATTATTATAATTCCTCTTATAAATTCTAATATAAAAGTAAAATAGTAAAAAGCAGATGTGACCCATTGCTAACTTTAATCTCATTTTTACTTAAAAGCTACCAAAATATTTAGTGCATTTTTAAAGTGTATTCCGCATTCTGATATAAAAATAATTAACTGGATAGGTTTGTGTTATGAATAGGGAAGAGTAAGCAATATTTTAAAAGCAATCTCCGCTAAATTTGGTTGATTAAAACAATACATTTTATTTATATTTACAGAACAATGCGACGATTGCGTTAAGATCAGCCAGTGTGCACCGGCGTTGCGTCTTATCCGCACAGACCGCAGTCCACCAATTATTCAACAACTGCAAAATGCACTCTGTGGTTTTGATGGTATTCAAAAGGTAATCCGCATTAATCAACAAACATTACAATCTCTAGAAGCTTACCAAAAACCTGTACTGTTGAGCTGAGCAAAGTTATATATAACTATGAACATAAGGAAGACATCGAGACGCTCTTTTACAATATGTCATTCGCACTTTTGATAACCTCTATACATGTAACTCAGTTTGGTAATTTTACAGTCACAAGCGCTATTCGAATTTGTTCTTTACCCGTACAGATTACAAATTCGAAGCATTTTTTGCATATTTTCTTTTGCTACCTATTTCGAGTCTATTCATCATCATCATCAGCCTTTGTCTGCCCACTGCGTCTAAAGATCTAACACTTTCATTCTAGTTTTATAATAACATTTTGTTAACAGGTCTGCTGTTCTGATTTTGTCACAAGTCGATTTAATGAAAACAAAGAAGTTGCAAACAAGACACAGACATCTGAAGACGAAATCGAAAATCATCGCAACATCCGTCTTCTACCAACTGAGTGTGGAGATATGGACGGTAACAGAATTGTCGGCGGAATCAGTGCGGGCCTGTACGAGTTCCCGTGGTTGGCTCTCATTTCATACAGAGACAGTGAGTTTTGTAAACTATCAGCTGCTCCTGATGCGTACGAGGATTGTAAATTTTCAATGAATTTTGACCGTTTTGATTGTAGGTGATGGAGTTTTAAAGTTTAAATGTGGAGGCACAGTTATATCTGCGAGATACGTGCTGACCGCCGCACATTGCATCGTCGGCCAACAAATAGCTGGAGTTAGAATTGGAGACTACGACATAAGCAAACGGGAAGATTGTGTGGGGGAGGATGAAATACGCGAATGTGAAACAAAATATCAGGTATGATAGTTTTCTTTTTATCAATAATAACTTAAACAAATAATGAGCGTACGTGGCTCAGAGGTTTAAGCACTTGACTTGCAATCTGCAGGTCCTGAGTTCGAAACCCGCCATGTACCAATGTTTCGATTTCCGATTTACATACGAGTATGTACATTTATCTGATGTTCTTACGGTGAAGGAAAACATTGTGATGCAACCTGCACATATCTGCGAATAAATTCAAAGATATGTGTGATATCAACCAACCCGCACTGGGCCAGTATGGTTGACTATGGCCTAATCACCCCTAATTTAGGGTAGGCTCCGAGTCCTACAGTGGGGACGTATAGTGAGCTTATGATGAAAACAAATAATTAACAGAATAAAACAATAAGCAACATCAATGTTTACGTACATATAGACGACAATGTTTTGTCTGGCGCATAATAACGAGGAAAGAACGTATAATATATGTTATTCCATTTTATCTTCTACTCTATAGAATAATAAGAAAATTGTGGTTACTTATTATTCTACAAAATAGAAGATAATTTAAGATGCACGTCAAATATATTGGATCGCTATTTATTTCAATTAATTTTGGTGTACTTCCAACAGGATATCGCCGTAACTCACAAAATACATCACCGTGGGTATGTTACACGGCCACATATCCTAAATGACATTGGTCTTCTACGTCTCGCCAGACCTGTGGACTTTTCTTATAGTAAGTTTTTTTGATAAAACCACTGATCTATTTATACGTATAAATACTTCGCCAGTTCGTATTACATCCGCCATCGATGTTCCTTATCAAACCATTCTGGCTTATCCGTGGTATTTTCAATTGTAATTTTTCATTCTATTTGGGTCAAATTTAACCGACCTACCGTTGTTTTCTTAGACCAACGTCTCCGTATAAAACTTGCCATTATCCCACCGAACAGACATAATAATATGTTTTTAACAGGGATTAAAGCTTACTCTCTTATACTTATATACCCTTTAGTTAATTAACGATGTCTAACTAAATTTTACCTTATTACTTCAGGAAATTCTGGCTCTATTTGTTTACCTATAACAAAAGATCTGAGAGAAAAAGATTTAGTAGGAGAAAGAGGTGTTGTAGCCGGCTGGGGTATGACCGAAAATCAAACTAGATCCAATATTCTACTCAAAGTTGAATTGCCTATATTCTCAGAATCCTTATGCAATACGCACTACAAAAGGTGAGAAACATATAATCTTATTTTATCCACCCTCGTGAGGACAAGTGTGGTGATGTATGGTTTGCACTAACTAAAACCTCACAGTAGCCACGAACTGCGATGATAAGGGGCCGGGGAAACTCTTTAAATTACCTGAGAATCTTAAGCGAGATCAGGTAATTACTATGACTGTCAACTACCTAATACGAGATTAATATTTAAAATATGTTTATTTTTCCAGCGATGCACCTAAAGTCGGACCAAGCAGGATGACAGGTACACTTTGCGCTGGTGAAATAGGCCACGATTCTTGCAAAGGTGACTCAGGAGGACCTCTTATGCTCGAATCGTATTACGATGGTACATACAAATTTGTGCAATTCGGCATCGTCTCGTATGGTCCTACTCTATGTGGCTCAGAAAAGCCTGGAATATACACCGATGTCAGGAAATTTATGAAATGGATTTTGAATACAATTAAACCATAGAAACAAAAACCAAAAAATGTATTTAATAAATTGTTATGAAATAAAGTCAATTTGTTTTATTTATTATTTTTCTCTCCATCCCACGCTTTTCTTATACGAATACAATGGGAAAGGGGAAGTAAACTTATCTTTTGCTTTTGATTTTTTCTACAAAACGCCCAAAAGAAATCCATCAAGGAATAACAATAACAAAGAGAAAAAACACTTAAATTGAAATCTTTTTCAGTGGATAAAAACTATTTTAACAACCAATTGCATCTACTACATATCTAAAAAATGAATAGCTAATAAAAAATCAACACAAAGTTAGAGCTTACCATTTGGGGACTTAACACTGAGGGAGCCAGAAGGGACACATCGACTTGAAGGGACGTCTTGTGAACCCCGCCCGACTTCACAGCATTGCAACAGCAATCCTTTTGTATTGTGAACATCCGACTATATTTTATGATTACTATAATTTGCATCAATGTAATAAAACCAAATGAATGCACAACTTGTTTGATTTTAGACGTTTAAGCTATCAAAGATGAACGAAGAGCATACTGCAAATGAACGCACGCACAGCACCACCTCTTCGTCATCACAAGCGGGATTGGACTTGAAAGAAAATCTACGTGATACTATCCTCATTCAGGATTAGAAATGAAAATATCTTTTTGAGCAACAAAATCGCAACTTATCGAAACAAGGAAGATGGCTTCCGAATTTAAGACGAAGAAAGACATAGTTTAAGACAATGTGAAGATGCAAAAACGATAGTATGTGTGTGATAAGGTTAACACGCCCGATATAAGATTACAAAAAAATAATTAACATTTCCAGCCCTACAACTGAGGTGGGAGCAGGCAGGATGACAAGTACTTTTTGCGCTGGTGAAATAGGCCACGATTCTTGCAAAGGTGACTCCGGATGACCTCTTATGCTGCAATCGTATTGCGATGGTATATACAAATATGTACAATTGCGCATCGTCTCGTATGGTCCTACTCTATGTGGCTCAGAAAAGCCTGGAATATACACCGATGTCAGGAAATTTATGAAATGGATTTTGGATACAATTGTAGCATAAAAACAAGAACCAAAAAAATATGTTTAATAAAATCCATTGATAAGAAATACAGTTTTTTTTTTCTCTCCTTCCCACGCTTGTCTTATACGAAAATGATGGGAAGGGCAAGTGAACTTCTCTGTTTCTTTTGATTTTTTTTCTTATAACCGTCCAAAGAAATTTTTAGAGATATAACATATAAAAAATATTTACAGTAGTTCGACCCTAAGTTGTAAAAGTAAAAGAATATTATTATCTCCTTCATTACGATAAAAAGAACACAAAAAATAACAAAATGGATAAAACCAGACGACTAGTTCAGAAGAGCAAGTCCAGAAATTATAGATAGAAGGTCGTTACCAACGTCCCGATGTTACGCCCGCGTAGTTAGTGTCGAGAACGACACGGCGAGACGACAACGTGCCTCCACGATGCGTCTGCAATCTAGTGTATTGTGCTGTGTACTCCTGGCTTCCCTCACCACTGCCCTCAGTCAGTACTAATATATATTCACTATTATTATAATTCCTCTTATAAATTCTAATTTAAAAGTAAAATGGTAAAAAGCTAATCTGACCCACTGCTAACTTTAATCTCATTTTTTTTTAAAGCTACCAAAATATTATGTGCATTTTTAAAGTGTATTCCGAATTCTGATATAAAAAATAATTAACTGGATAAGTTTGTGTTATGAATAGGGAAGAGTAAGGAATATTTTAAAAGCAATCTCCGCTAAATTTGGTTGATTAAAACAATAGATTTTATTTACATTTACAGAACAATGCGACGATTGCGTTAAGATAAGCCAGTGTGCACCGGCGTTGCGTCTTATCCGCACAGACCGCAGTACGACGGTAATTCAACAACTGCAAAATGCACTCTGTGATATCGACGGTGTGCAAAAGGTAAGTCTCATTAACCCTTTCGAAGCTGTATGAGCCACGGTCTTATATACAAGACCAAAAATATGCACATAGAAAACATGAAATACACATAATAATCAACGTATTTTGGCCATTATAATTATCAAACTTAAAAGTTTATTATCTGAAATAAACATACATAAAAAAAGTTAATTTTATCATCTTATTATAAAATATTTCATTAAAATAGAAGGAGTTAAAATATTTTAAAGAATGGGACTACCAAGCCAACATCAAGCTTTTGTCTTTTATACAAGACAAGACCGCTAGTGATGCGACGCGCGATGCATGGTACTGATTAAAGATATGTTCATAATTAACTTAAAACATATTTTTTGTTGTCCGAAACTATATCAGTACTCGAATATATTTAAAACTTACGGCACTTATAAAAAATTGACATATTTTATCGAATTATAAAAGATGGCTTCTGTTAATTTTCGATGTTGAAATTTTTATAGCTTTCTGTAGAATTTTTTACAAAATGGCGACACTTTTTATGCCAAATAACCTGTTTTACAACCACAAAATATGGATATCAAATAATAGGACTTAAATAATGAGATATAATACCCTATAAATAAATTCAAGATTTTGGCGACGACTTTTTTTTTTAGATAATCGTTGAAAAAAATATATATATTGTAAGTTATCGACATAATAGCTGCAAGCCCTATTTTTCTTGGAGTAAATATTTACGGTTTTTCGGTTTGGCTCACAGAACACGCCTGTGCTGATTTCTTCTAGCCTCCAAAATACTAAATAACAAACATTAGAATCTCAACAAGCTTACCGGCAACCTGTAATTACTGTTTAGCTGAGCAAAGTTATATATAACTATGAACTTAAGGAAAACATGGAGACGCTCTTTTACAATATGTCATTCGCACTTTTGATAACCTCTATACATGTAACTCAGTTTGGTAATTTTACAGTCACAACCGCTATTCGAATTTGTTCTTTACCCGTACTGATTACAGATATTACAATACTCATCAAAGTCGGAGCATTTTTTGCATCTTTTCTTTTGCTACCTATTTTTAGTCTATTCATCATCATCATTAGCTTTTGTCTGCCCACTGCGTCTAAAGATCTAACACTTTCATTCTAGTTTTATAATAACATTTTGTTAACAGGTCTGCTGTTCTGATTTCGTTACAAGTGGATTTCATGAAAACAAAGAAGTTGAAGACGAGACACAGACATCTGAAGACGAAATGGAAAATCATCGTAACATCCGTCTTTTACCAACTGAGTGTGGCGATCTGGACGGGAACAGAATTGTCGAGGGAACCAGTGCGGGCCTGTACGAGTTCCCTTGGTTGGCTCTCATTTCATACAGTGACAGTGAGTTTTGTAAACTATCAGCTGCTCCTGATGCGTACGAGGATTCTAAATTTTCAATGAATTTTGACCGTTTTGATTGTAGAAAATGAAACTTTAAAGTTTAAATGCGGAGGTTCGGTTATAAATGCGAGATACGTGCTGACCGCCGCACATTGCATCGTTAACAAAACAATAGCTGGAGTTAGAATTGGAGACTACGACATAAGCCAACTGGAAGATTGCGTGGGGGAGGATGAAATACGCGAATGTGAAACAAAATATCAGGTATGAAAAGATTTCTTTTTATCAATAATAAAGTGAACTCAAATAATTACCGGAATAAAACAATAAGCAACACCTACATATATAGACAACAATGTTGTATCTATGGCGCATAATAATGAGGAGAAAAAAAGAGAAATATACATATTACCCCTTTTTCCTTATTATTCTATAAAATAGAGATTTATTATTCTATAATCTAGGATGCACGTCAAAAAATATTGGATGATCGCTATTTGTTTCAATTAATTATGGTGTACTTCCAACAGGATATCGCCGTAACGCACAAAATACATCACCGTGGGTATGTTACACGGCCACATATCCTAAATGACATTGGTCTTCTACGTCTCGCCAGACCTGTGGACTTTTCTTACAGTAAGTTTTTTAGTAAAACCACTGATTTATTTTTACGTATAACCATCCGCTGTTACAACGTACCAATAACATCCTTCATACGAATTCCTCAGTCAGTATCACAACCCCCATCGATGTTCCTTATCAAACCACTCTGGCTTATCCATGGTAATTTCAATAGTAATTTTTCATTCTCATCAGAGATCGAGAGGCTCGGAGTCTACCCTAAGTTAAGGGTGATTAGGCCATAGTCAACCACGCTTGCCAAGTGCGGGTTGGTTGACTTCACACATATCTTTGCATTTCTTCTCAGATATGTGCAGGTTGCATCACGATGTTTTCCTTCACCGAAAGAACGTCGGATAAATGTATATATGTAAATCGGAAATCGAAAAACACATTGGACCTGCAGATTGCAAGTCAAGTGTTTGACTCCTGAGCCACCGACGCTCTTTTTTTCATTCTATTTGGGTCAAATTACCGTTGGTTTCTTAGACCAAAGTCTCCGTATAAAACTTGCCATTATCCCACCCAACAGAAATAATAATATGTTTTTAACAGGGATTAAAGCCTACTCTCTTATACTTATATGCCCTTTAGTAACGATGTCTAACTAAATTTTACCTTATTACTTCAGGAAATTCTGGCTCTATTTGTTTACCTATAACAAAAGATCTGAGAGAAAAAGATTTAGTAGGAGAAAGAGGTGTTGTAGCCGGCTGGGGTATGACCGAAAATCAAACTAGATCCAATATTCTACTCAAAGTTGAATTGCCTATATTCTCAGAATCCTTATGCAATACGCACTACAAAAGGTGAGAAACATAAAAACTTATTTTATCGCGAGGAAAATACCTTACGCATACCACCCTCGTGAGGACAAGTGTGGTGATGTGGGGTTTGCACTAACTAAAACCTCACAGTAGCCACCAACTGCGATGATAAGGGGCCGGGGAAACTCCAAATGAAACACCAACTCCAAGAAATATCAAAGAGGTATCATATTACGACGTAATTACCTGACAGCCTTAAGCGAGATTAAGTAATTACTATGAGTGTCAACTACCTTAACATCCATGACATCATTATCTTTGTATTTGCACATAAAATAATATAAATTTCAATAAGTTTAGTATAATTTTTTCGGCATTGTAGTCTGATGTTAATTTCATTAATATTATAAAGAGGAAACAGTTGATTTTTCGTTCGTATTGAATAGGATCTGAAACTTGACTTGAAACTAGGATTTTACAGTGGTAGAGCCCGCTTTAACTTTAAATTTTAAATTAGCCCGGCTCGCCCGGTGAAATACCACGACCACACAGAAGACAGGCGTGAAATGGAAGCAATTCCGCGTTTCGTCTGATGAGTGTGCGGCCCGGAGGCCTAATTTAGTCCCTTCCCTTCCCACCCTTTTTCTTATAAGGTAAGGATGGGAAGTGGAAGAGGACTTTCCGAATGAGAGGATGCATGGAAAGGGAAAATATTTTATTATAATATTCTCTCCTCCGTCGATTAAAGGTTGGCTACGCATATGCAATTGCGCCTGTCTATGGGCATCGGTCACTTCGCTATATATGCGATTTCAGGTGGTCGCTCGCTCGTTTGCCACCTTATGATATAAAAAAAAACTACTGAACCGATTTAAAAATTCTTTCACTGTTGGGAAGCTACAGTATCTCCGGGTGACATGAGCTATATATTTTTTATACTTTGTGTGTGAAGTAAAAATATTTTAAGCAAATTGCTCGTACGGGTAAATGTGAAAGACAGCTTAAGTCAAAATAGAGATGTAGAAAACGATATTATGTGTTTAATAATGTCAACAGGGCCAATACGAGATTAATAATTAATATATATATTTTTCCAGCGATGCTAAAGTCGGACCAGGCAGCATGACAGGTACCTTTTGCGCTGGTGAAACAGGCCACGATTCTTGCAAAGGTGACTCAGGAGGACCTCTTATGCTCGAAACGAATTACGATGGTACATACAAATATGTACAATACGGCATCGTCTCGTATGGTCCTACTCAATGTGGCTTTGAAAAGCCTGGAATATACACCGATGTCAGGAAATTTATGAAATGGATTTTGGATACAATTGTAGCATAGAAACAAGAACCAAAAAAAATGTATTTAATAAATTGATATGAAATAAAGTTAATTTGTTTTTTTTTATTGTTCTCCCCTTCCCACGATTTTCTTACACGAAAACAATGGGAAAGGGGCCTTCCCTTCGCTTCAAACTTCGGGAAAGAAATCGTTCAAGTAATGACAATAACAAAGAGAAAAAACACTTAAATTGAAATCTTTTTCAGTGGACAAAAACTATTTTAACAACCAATTGCATCTACTACATATCTAAAAAAAATGTATATGAAGAATACGGGATGAACAAAATTTCTAAGAACTTTAAAAACCGTAGTACATAACTGAAAAAAGTAACATGAGGAGAAAAGTGGTAAATTGTAATCGAATTCGATGGAGAAGATGATAAACTATAACAAACCTTTTTAATTTATAACTTTGTAATCACAGATTTATTAAAAACAGACATTTTTGCATCAATGTGTATATATCTTACTAATATTATAAATGCAAATGTTTGGATGGATGGATGTTTGTTTGATTGTATGTCCAGAACGCTTGTATGAATTACACTGAAACCTGGCATACACAGATGTATAAAATAATCTGAAATAACATATAGACCACTAGCTGAGTTTATTTTTAATACCGCGCGGACGGAGTCGCGGACGACAGCTACTAGTATATGTATTTCTCACTAGCTGTCGCCCGCGTTCGTCCGCACGGATTAAAAAATTACGAGTTTTGGTAATGTTTATATTTACCAATAAAACTTATCAGTTGCTTATGGAAATACTCTGAAAATGTATGTGAACTTGATTCTTCAATATTTAGGTATTAGTCAAATACATAGTAAATGTCCATAAATACCCCATTAAAAGTAAATTTTTAAAAGAAATTTAAATTATGTTATTTTTTAAGAGAAATTACCTTAGCTTATCTCATAAAAAAATCTGAGGGAGGCAGAAGCAATTGTGATCTCGTTCGACTTCACCGCGTTGCAACCGCAATCCTATTGTATTGTGAACATCCGACAACATTTTGTGATTACTATAATATGCATCAATGTAATAAAACCAAATGAATGCATAACTTGTTTGATTTTAGACGTTTAAGCTATCAAAGATGAACGAAGAGCATACTGCAAATGAACGCACGCACAGCACCACCTCTTCGTCATCACAAGCGGGATTGGACTTGAAAGAGAATCGACGTAATACTACCCTCAATAACAATAATAAATGAAAATATTTTTTGAAGCAGCAAAATCGCAACTTATCGAAACATTGAAGATGCCTTCTGAATTTAAGACGAAGAAAGAGATAGTTTAAGACGATGTGGAGATGTAATCGATATCATCTGTGTGATACGGTTAACAGGGCCAATATGAGATAACAAATTAATAATATAATGTCCATTGATATGAAAGTCAATTTGTTTTTTGATTACACTCTCCTTCCCATGCTTTTTTTATTCAAAAACGATGGAAAATGGAAGTGAACTTCTCATTTTGTTCTCCAAAACGCCCAAAGAAATCTTTTAAGAAATGATACTTAAAAATTTATTTCATAGCTAAAGTTAACATTCAATTGATTTCCTTTTCATTGGATATAAACTATTTTAACAACCAATTTTTGATAAAAATCCCTACATCTTGGGAAGGTTCAAGTTTAGTCGTTTGCCAGCTTATAATCCAAAAACAACCTTGACGTTCTCTAATATACAGGATGTACACATTCCTTGGACGAAAATATGACGATTTAACACAATTTACCTCTTTCCAAAGTTCTGACTACAGTCAATCTTTCACATTTTTTTTACCTTCTCTTGAAAATTTAATTTAGAATGTTTTAGTTCTCTGATAACTTCTTGATTTGGCAATGAGTTTTAAAAAATAAACGTTGTTCTTATATTTTATACGTATTCTTTAAATAATTATTGTTTCATATTCGTGTTTTCGAACCCCTGTAGGTCTTATGACAAAGGTCAAATCGTTGTAATTTTCGACTATGATTTGTGATACTAATGTATGGTAGACCATTGTACACGTGATTCCAGGGCACCTTGTATAATATTTTATGTAAGCAAGTCAAATGGGCAATTCCCTATGACATCAATATTATTAGTTCAGGGAGATAAGAAACTAACGTGAAGAACTTAGCAGTTGTCCGAGCTAGCTTGTGAGAGATAGGCGCGTCACTTATAATGATGTTAATTACAAAAGTATTGCTTGGAATGTTATTGTTTATAAATATTTCAAGTTGCTCTAGTAAGTAAAAGTCATTTTACTATAAAATAAATTACAATTCCCGCAACTCGCTTTACTTACATCAAAGAAATATCAAATTTGTTTGTTTATTAGTATGTCGTACGTGTAGTACGTCTCTGTGTGCGAATGTGTTTGTGTTAAAGAAATTTAATTTGCGATTTTTTTTTAAAAGACAGTGTGTTATTTTTTATATTTAAGTATATAGTAATTATGTTGGAAAACATAGTAATATAGCACAGCATCAATAATGTGTTAAATTATAATAGTAAATTTTATCACCTGGTGTTTGGTGATCTAGTACAGAAGTAATCCTAGATACACGTCCACTTCACGCTTGCCTACTATGTGGTCCTGGTAGTACAACAGCTGATGCTGCTGGATCACCACTATAATGACTTTGTGTAACCAACAGAAAAATGCGAGGATTGTGTTTCAATAACGAAATGCGTGCCGGCCTTAGAAAGAGTAAAAC